ATATCTGAGCCCTTCAGATTTTATCAAACTTATAGCCTCAGTCAGCTAAGCTAGTGGTCAGGGATTGTGGGAATCATAGTAAAAGTGCACCTGAAGAACCTTTCCTGAATCCAAGAGAAAATGAAAAGTCACTGCTGCTAATCTGGGTCCTGGATACCTGAAGGAGTGCCTTCTCCCCTATGTGCCCTCCTGCCCCTTGAGATCTGAGTCAGAGGCCCTCCTCTAGGAGCCATCCTTGAAAGAGATCAAGAGGGTGATTACCCAGCGGAAGACCTTCTCTGCAGTGGTGCCCCAACTGTGGAACACAATCCCCAGATAGGTCCGACTGGCACCAATGCCTCTTTCCTTTCGGCATCAGGCAAAACCCTTTTTATTTTCCCAGTATTTTAATTGTTAATTTGTTTTAGTTAGTGGGTTTATATTTAAACATTGTATGCTGGGCAACTGTTATTTTTATTTCTATTTTTAGGATTAATTTGTTGTAAACTGTCCTGAGTCGTCTAAGTATGGGACATTATAGAAAAGTTTGAAATAAATAAATAAATAAATAAATAAATAAATAAATAAATAAATAAATAAATATAAATCTCTCTCTCTCTCTCTGGTCTTCCCTTTTGTCTTCTGCCTTCAACTTTCCCTAACATGATTGTCTTCTGCAGAGTGTCTTGCCTTCTCAAGATGTATCTGAAGTATGACAGCTTCAGTTTGCCCAGTTGCGGGGAAGGCTCTGGCTTGGTTTGATCTAGAACCCACTTGTTCATCTTTCTGTTGGTCCAATATTTGCATTTCGAACACATCATTTTTTTTTCCTGTCGACTTTCTTCACTGTTTCTTCCTGTCAGTTTCTTTCTTCCACTTTCACACCCATACAGTGTGATTGGGAATGCAATGGTTTTGATGATCTCGACCTTGGATGCCAGTAGAAGATCATTGTATCTGGCAATCTTTCCTAGTTCCTTCATTGCTTTCCTTTCGAGTCTCATTCTTCTAATTTCTTGGCTGCAGTCTCCCTTTGACTTGATAACTAAACTGAGGCATTTAGAAGCTTTCACAATTTTGACTGAAACCGCAACCCTGGTTTCCCCCCTTATGGGGCAACCAACAACGAAAGAAAGACATTTTTATCAAGATAATAGAATGGGGCACAGGTGTGTTAAAATTACCCTTTAGCTGTTTACTGGTTTTCTGTGTGTGTGTGTGGTGGGGGGGTTGTTTTTGTTTTGTTTGTTTTTAATTTATAACAATTGGTTTCCTTGTGCTTCTAATAGGAATGGTAGGGCAGAAATCTGCCTAAATTAACAATTTCCCTGTCCAAGCACTGCTATGCTGAATAAATGGGGAGCTCTCCTCAGCTTCATTTCATTAAAAACATCATATTGAGAAATCCAGTCATGGGATTGCCTGCTAAACACATTCAGTTGACCCTTACATTCAGGCTGCAGATGAATGCACAGGAATTGAATTCAGCATTAGCATCCACTCTTGCCTGAAGAACAGTTATATAAGGAAAGTATTAGAAATTTGTGCAGTTTCACTTTGTAAATATAAAATCCTCAATGCAAGAATAAACTCGATAACAACAAGCCTTGAGTTCTTGACAACTGAATCTGTACTGGCACATAGACAATGAAGTATCTATACAAGGATTTAATCTACGGTGGAACATAAAACTACTGATACTTGGAAAAATGAGAAAATAGCATTTCTTTTTCCGATAATTGTGACATTAAAATAGTTTTAAGGAAGAAATTCATTTTGATAACTTGGTTTGAGCCCAGGTCCACATTTTGATTTATTGCTCATCTCTTCAGAGTGTGCCATTATTGGCTGCCAGACAATTCTTCAATAAATGGAAAAAAAAGGCAACAACGCTTAGCAGCCAGGCTTTCCAAAGATTTCAGCCACATAAGGAAACTGCTATGCTGGTTTTAAAACCACATTCAAAGCAACAGGTTTTGAGTGTAGGTTCTCTAAGAACAGAACACTGAATGTTCACACAATTTGTTCTAAGAAATATTGCAATTGCTGCAACACGTCTGCACTTCTCTATGCAACTAGTTCTAATTAGTTCTCATTAAAATAAAAAAGGAAATAATCTTTTTGTGACTCCAGAAATCGCATATTATTATCATCATTTCAATGTATGTGCCGCTACATTAGCCTGCACTTGGACACTCTGAGCAGCTTACAAGCAATTAAAACAACATAACATTTTAAAAATCTGTAGCACTATAACATTAATACAACATCCAAAAATATAAAGAAACATTTTCCAATCAATTAAAAGTACTGCATAAAAACTTTTAAATAAACAATTTAAAATTAAGATTTTAAATATATGCCTTATGATATAGCTCATCCTGATGAAATGTTTCTTGATTTTAATTATTTCTATATATTTCTCTGATTGGCATAATTCCACCTCTCAGAGCCAGGACCAATTTCTTATCTGAATTTTTGATTGTTTTACTGAAAAGATATCTCAGATAGGCATGTCCATTCTCTTCACTGATATTTGATTAATGTTTAGTACCCTGGCATGTGATATCTGACAAATAGTTAGAATTAATGGATTTATTCATAAACTATTCTTTATGCTAATGATCTTCTATTGTTTATCATGGAATGCCCATTATCTGTTCTAGTTTTGATGAAGACAATTAATCATTTATTCATCTGGCCATTCTATTAACTGTCCAAAGTCTGAACTGATGCCAATTAGAGATAATATACCTCATAGTATGCTAGTCAACTGGCAATTCAGACTCTACCCAAAGTTTACTACTTGTCCATGATTAAGCTAAATTTAAGTAAACCTTTCAATGAGGTATCACAGGATTTCTCATTTAAAGATGGAGCCCATTTGGTGCCATTTTGGCACTGTTCAGACCTGGGACTCTTGGCTGTGGGTTGTCGATTTGTTGTTATACTTATTGTTGTATTTATTGTTTGTTTGTTGTTCTCTAAATATGATTATTTAGTTGCTCCTACATATATTTTTAAATGTGTAAACTGCCCAGAGTACCCAGTGGGTTATGGGGCTGCATAAAAGTGTGGTAGTGGTGATCATGTCTATGGGATAGGGTAAATAGACTTAAAATTAATGTAAACTTCAAATTGTCTGTTTTACAGATATTCCTCTATTTATACCAAGCAGATATTTTAAAAAATGTAATTATTTTGTAAATTTCTATGGTTCCATTCTACCATGAATATACTTTTGAAAGGAATTGAATTTTCAATTAAAGATGGTGAATTTGGCTTCCCTGATCTCTCTTTATATTATTGGGTCTATTTCATAGAAACATTGAATACTAGAGTTGGAAGGGGCCTACAAGACCACTGAGTTCAATTCCTTGCTCAATGCAGGACTGCAGGTTAAAGAATCTCTGAAAGATGGCTGTCCAACCTCCTCTTGGGTGCCTCCAGTGTAGGACATCCCATGATCTTCCTACTTAATTGTTCCATTGCCATACTGCTCTAACAGCCAGGAAGTTTTTCCTGATATCCACCTAGAATCTGGTTTCTTGCAACTTGAACCCATTATTCTGTGTCTTGCATTCTGGCAAGGCTGAGAAGTAATCCTGGCTCTTCTCTCTGTGACAGCCTTTCAATTATTTGAAAAGTGCTAAAATACCTCAGTCTTTTTTAGGCTAAATATGCCCAGTTCTTTTAATCTCTCCTTGTAGGACTTTGTTTTCAGTCCCCTGATCATCTCTGTTGCCTTCCTCTGAACCTTTTCTGAATCTTTGTTAAACTGTGGAGTAGACACAGTACTAACTAGACACAGTACTCAAGATGTTTCCTAACTAGTGTCTAATAGAGGAGAACTAGTACTTCACATGATCTGGAAACTATATTTCTGTTAATACAGCTCAAAATAGTAGAGAGCCATCCGTAATTCCTAGTTCTGAGGGAATCCTTCTCAGACCCAGGAATAGGAAGTGTCCCAAGAGACTGACCCCTCCTACAGTGCCTGGCTTTAAGGAAGAAACACCTCAGAACTAAATCACTGGGCAGCTGATCTGGAGAGCCCTACTGGCACTTTCTCACTGAAGCATTTGCTCCAGTAGGAGGGTGGGACTGGTGTGCTCACTTTCTAGAGTGCTTACCAAGATTGCCAAGCTGACAGCTGTTCAAGGAGCCCCACTGTCTGCACTCTCCTGCAGTAGGGAATGCCATGACTGTGGTGCAGCCAGCAGGACTCTTTGGAGAATCTGCTGAAAGAAAGGTGGCAAGCTATCCTGGCAGGGCGGGGGGTAACATTGCAATTTGTCACTCTTCCCATTCTGCCACCTGGAGTGGAGGATTCATTCCATCTCATGGGGCAGACTTGCCAGAACAGCAGACTAAAAGTAAATGCAGCCAAAGATTGCTTAAGTGATTTTTAAAAGAATTGATGTCCACCAAAATGATAGCAATACCAGTATGTTTTAGCTCAAACCACTTACTACCAGTAACTAAACCTTGCTCACTCTCTCTCAACCAGCCTATTCAATTCCATCTCCTTCACTTTAGCCATACTATAACACCACTGTAGTCAGTCATGTTGCTATTTGCCCTTCCAATAGCTACAAATTGCACTGGTTGCTCCTGAGTTCACTTCTTTTCTCCACTAATTTGCAGCTGACTCCCCAACCCTGAAACCACCTCCAGTAGCTCAGATCATAGCCACCAGCCAACTGCTAAAGCAAACAACAAGGCATATTTAGAGAGCCCCCTGCTGAGAGTGGGCAGCTTTATAAAGAGATATATAGAGAGAAAGCCTGACTTGAGATCACTAGAAGCCACCACAACTGGTTCTTGGACCTTGCAGTAAGAGTACTGGTATAGGATGCAGTAGACATTTTTTTTCACACTTTATGTATACATAAATGTAATAAATCTCACTGATTTCAGTTATCACAACTCAAGCAATTTCTCAGATGTTAACCCTATCATGAACCACTCAATCTGATGAGGTAAAATAGAACTGGAAAATTAACCACTCATGGCCTTACCTCTCAGTTCCCGAATCCCTTGTTGTGAGAGGGGACACTTGGGCTGGTGGGTTGTGTGGGCTGCCATGCACATTGTGCCCTGGTGAACTGTGACTCACAGAGTGTGGTGAGGGCCCAGTGCCCACAGTGGCTCCATTTCGGCTTGACTGAGTACTGGCATACAGTGCTGCTGCAATGAAGGCAAAAGCATTCACTATGATGATGGGCACCTTTGTACAGTTTTCATACAGCTTAAAATCCCTTTCAGTTTTCAAAAATGAATCAGTTACAGAAATCTTGGCTTTGAAAGTAGCATAGTAGCTTTTTTCAAACAATCATTACTAAGAATATTATGAACAAAACTCTGAACTTTGAAATTTTGTAGCATCTGATTGTCTTATATTACAAATAAGCAAACATGCACCATTATTTGCAGTTTCCCTGACCAGCCATAAGAAACTGGCTCATTCTTTGATGTCTGTGGAAGCAAGGGTTCTTGCTTATTGCTTGAGCAGTAAGAGGAAAAACCCCTCATATTGCCAACAGCAATCAACTAAGTAGCCCCCTTTCCTTTGCATAAGTAAAAAAAAGTCTATATTTTAGCTCCTGCCCATGAACAAAAAAAGTAATTCATCAACACATGAATGCAAGATGCCTTCCAAGTCTAGAAATCACACCTCCTGTCTTAAACTAAGCCTAAATTCATGTAATTCTGCCTGTGCAGATTTTCCTGTTACTATTACAGTGGTACCTCGGATCATGAACACCTCAGTTCACCACCAAATCGGGTTGTGAACAGAAATTTCAGAAAAAAATTGACTCAGGTCGTGAACTCCACATTGGGTGATGATTGCAATGGTCTTCCCTGCATAATTGTGCTTGGGGGGGTGGGGGAGATGGCCACGGTCGCACCTGTCTCCCCCCATCGTGCCCCCGATCATGCCCATCTTCCCTGCACAAGCACACATGCCCCCCTCCAGCACAATCGCAATTGCACAATTATGATTTGGACTCTCCAAACACTAATCTCCCCACCACCTAGGTTAGTGTTCTCTACTGTACTATACTTTATTACTTTGTTTCAAATTTTTGTGATTAAAAAAAATACAGAACAGATTAATCTCATTTACACTGAACCTTACGGGGGAATTTGATTTGGCTCGCGTCCAATTCAGATAGTGACCAGAGTTGTGGAACAGATTAAGTTCATGAGCCAAGATACCACATCATCTCCTCCTTTCTATCAAAATTTAGATTGTAAACTCCTTAGGGTGGTATCTATCTTTATTTATGTTGTTCTATAAAATGCCATGCCCATTGATTTTATCATCACCTTAAATATATTAAAGCAGTGAACAATGTTGTATTTTAAGAGACAGTCAATACTGTTTATATTGAAGTTTTTCACCAAGCAAGAACATATGTTGGAGATTATGAGCAGATTATGAAATTGATAACTGAAAAAAACATAGATTTAATTGCCTACAAAGCAGAAACTTGGTAAACAAACTGTCGCATTTATATGACAATATAGATCCACAAGCAGACATTTAAGAGATGCTTAAATCTATAGATAATAAACTAATATTATTAAAATTCTAGAAAATGCTTTTGAGAGACAGTCTTAAGTGTTATGGATTAAAATGGAACAGAAATTTAAATCTGCACTTGTTACAGAAGATGACTAGATTTGTGTGTTTGTCCATGGATAAGTACTCTATTTCAGTACTTTTTATAAATCTTATATGGCTGATACCATACACCGAACAGGATTAGGGAGTGTGTGGGTGGGAGTGTAATCAATACCTGAGATAATTACTGATGCTGTGGGCTGGTGCACATAAGGTGGATTGCGACAGGATAAATAATTACGAAAACTGATACTGCAAATCATTGTAAAAGGAAAAAAAATGCTTTTATCACCAACAGTTCACTTACTGGGCACAAGATAGATTGATCTGGAAGAAAAAATCTAATAACAACTGCTATCACAGGTAGCGCAAAATGTTGTGAATCTGTAACCAAACTCTCAAAAAAAGGAGTAGTTGCAACAACAATGGGGAAAAATCATTACAAAAATACTGACAGCATTAAAATGAATGATGGGAACTGGCTGTTATTTTACTTAGCTTATAAACATGTAAGAACATTTCTTTGTTATTTGCAATGATACCAGTAAAGTGTGCAAGGCACTTAGATGTATCTTATCTTTGTTAGTTCAACATTGTGTGCCAGTTAGGGTGAAAATAGTCCATTTGCTTATTTTACTGCTCTTCTAACCTTTTCATTGAACTATGCACCATGACCCAAGGACTTTTTCATGACTTGTTACTGCCAATTTATATTTTATCGCTGTTTATGGAAAGTGAGACATTTCCCAGCGACATCAAAATGCACAACCCCTTACTCATTTACCATTTTGTTGCTCATTCACCTAATTTGCAGAGACCTGTTTGGTCTACTTTCCAATCCACTTAGGCTTTCATTACCCTGAATAATTTAGAGCTGAATCCCATGCAGTTTGAACAGAAAAAAAGTCCTACGTATCCTAGTCAGGCATGCTTAGAGCATGAGAGCTACAGGACTTTTTTTTCTGTTCAGATATGTGTAGGATTAAACCCTTAGACATGTAATCCACAAATTTAGCCACTTGCTGCTCATTCCTGGCTCAAGCTCAAGTGAGAATTAAATAACAGCTCATGAATCAAGATCTTAGGGATATAATGCAGTGACATATGAGCAGATACAATTTCTAAGAATTTCTATAACAATTCATTGCAGTGGCTTTTTAAATTCTTCACTATTACTTTGAGTGTGATATTTGTATCTATTTCTATGATTCATTACATTTAAACTCAGGAATGCAATAAAGAACTATTTTGTATCACTTCCTTTATGTAATAGCCTGAATGATATAAAACAAGTTCTTTTGAGACAACAAAAAATTGATTAACCTATTGAAAATCTATATATTTACAACACAAATTCTCAGTAAAGTAATTCCTTTCCTGTTTTTTTCCCCAGAAAATATGAATATTACTTGTGTTGTGCAATATTCTTTTCAAAAGAGAAATAAGTAACTTAGAAAAATAATTGGTCGCCCAAGATATTTATGCTTCAGTATCTTTGTGAATTGAAGCTCAAATTATATGTATTTTTAAATGACAGTAATTGTCATAAATATTTAGGAAAAATTATGTGGTCATTGTTCCATACCTCATTACCTGCCAACACAAGTACATTAACATTGGAAACATTACTTCATAAAAAATCTTGTGAAGTTTCATAAATAAGACATTTCATATTTATAGTTTCCAGCAGCATATAAAATGAAATTATGTAGAGATGATGAACGAAGTTACCCTACTCATAATTAAGAGATCCTTAAACTTTTCCCAAATTAAATCTTTTTAAAAAGAAAATATTTTTACTGTTACGCTATAATTTAAATCCTTCCCCCTTACACTGTCCCAAATTTGGAATCACCACTGTTCCTCTGGCAAACTACCAATTTCCATAGATATATTATTCTTACATTAGTTTTCTGTCAGTCAACCTTCAAATCAAAAGAAAAAGACCTCTCATACCTGTCTATGGAAGAAACCAAGCACAAAAGTGTTGCAGATTTGCCAGTGTGGTTCTGTCTGTACCATCTCATTCTGCTGCTTTATGCTTTTTTTTCCTTTTAAAAACTGTTAGCAAATCACAGTAACCAGAGCAAAAACTTCTGCTAAAAGGAGCTGTGAACAATGGGGATGTTCATTCTCCCCGTTCTGGAGTAGTCCAAGACCTGGGGAAGTGTTGAAAACATGGAGGGCACCAGGAAATGTTGCTCAACACTTGTAATCCAGATCAGTGGTTTTCAACCACTGGTCTGCAGATTGGTGCGGGTTTGCGGGAGATTTCCTGCCGGTCTGTGATGGGGCTGCATCCCACTCACTGCAGTCCTGTGCAGGGGCTGGGTGTGCTCCACCACCTCTTCTTCAGTTGGCTTAATGTTTCCAGGAGGTGCACTGGTGCTGTGGGGTGGGGGCAGGAAGGGGAGAGAGACAGCTCCACGGAAGCTGGTTGAGAGCCACGCTGCACCAGATTCAGTATTTTGTTCTTTTGTTGGCATTTTTTTGTTGCTCTGTTTCTTTTTTGCAGAATTTTCAGTTTTTTGGTATTGTGTTTGGAAACTAATACACAGAATACTGTACAGTAAAACCTTGGATTGTGAGTAACTTGGTCTACAAGTGTTTTGCAAGACAAGCAAAAAGTTTTTCTAAATTTTAACTTGATAAACGAGCAATGTCTTGCAGTACGAGTATTATGCGCCAAGCATCACATCACAACTGAGCGCCAGTTCTCTCTCTTGCTGTGGGTGTAAGTACAACATCGTCTCCCCTGAGCGTGCCCGCAGTCACACCCACCTTTCCCCCAAGCACGCCTGCAATCGCACCCATCTCCCCCCCAGCATGCCCGCAATTGATCTGCCTCCCCCCCAGCACACCTGCCTCCCCCCTGAGCATGCCCGCAATCACGCCCATCTCCCCCCAGTGCTCCCACGATCATACCCGCCTCCCCCACAGCATGCCCGCTTCAAATTTTTATGTTTTAAAAAAACAAAGTTACAGAACAGATTAACCTTATTTACATTGAACCTTATGGGGAAATTTGCTTTGATATACAAGTGCTTTGGATTACAAGCATGTTTCCAGAACGAATTATGTTCCCAATCCAAGGTTTTACTGTATTAAGTGTATGGTGCTTTTTGTTTCTGCCTCAGTGGTCCCCAAGGTGGTTTTCCTGTTTTTGCCAGTCCCCAGCTGTGGAAAGGTTGAAAAGCACTGATCTAGATGATAACATTTCAAGGGGGAAAAGTTTTTGCCACCACCTTTTGGGGTGTATGTCATTCTCTTGCTTTTTCCCTCTTTACTGGTTATTTTCAATTGACAGATTAGCAACTGTGTACAAATTAGTCTCTCCTTGTCAATTTCCATCTACCTTACCAACTACATTTTGCTCACTCTGACAGCTCAAATTTATAAGAACACCATTTTAAAAATATGAAAACTTTTGTGCACATTTCTGGGGAAGGAAGAAAGAGAACACAACCTAAATTACTTATCTTTGAGTCTCTGAAAACAAAGAAGGCAGCAAAAGGAGTAATGCTCAGGCCAGGAAGGGAGAAGAAAGACAGTTTTTGCC